CTCACAACCTCCTACCCTCCAGTATAAAATGTCCCAGCCTATCCAGCCTTTCTTTATAACTCAAACCTTCCATACTCGGCAACATCCTGGTAAATCTTTTCTGAACACTCTTCTCTTAATAATATCCTTCCTATAACTGGACACAGTATTCCAGAACACTAATGTCCTGTACAACCTCAAAGGGAAAAAAAGCACCATTACTTTCATCTGTTCTATCAAGGACATGAGATCACTTATGTATGGATTTATTCAAATTCAAAGGGAAAGTCTTCATCACTGTTATAGATCATTCCTCAAGATAGATTGAAGTCAAGCAGCTGCACAGTATAGAAACATATGAAATAGAGCAAGAATGGGCCCCTTGGCCCTTTGAGCATGCTTTGCCATTCAATATGTTCATGCTGATCATCCAACCCTTTGATTCCTGTAGCCCTAAAAACTATATATAACTGCTTCTTGAAAACATTCAATGTTTGGGCTTCAACCACTTTCTGTGGCAGAGAATTCAACAAGCTCAGCACTCTCTGGGTGAAGAAATTGTACCTCATCTCAGTCCAAAATGGCTTACTGTCTAACTTGCAACTGTGATCCTTGCTTCTCATTCCCATCCTTTCTTCTAAAGTCTACTGAATATAGTCCATGATCCAGTCTCTCTTCGTATGTCAGAGCTGCCATCCCAAGAATCAGTCAAGTCAATCTTCATTGTATTCCATAGCTAGAGCATCCTCACATAAGGAGACCAAAACTGCACACAATATTCCAGATTTGATCTCACCAACGCTCTGTAGAATTGCAGCAAAGATAGTAATAAAGTAACTACACAGTCTAGATTTTAGACTATGGTCCATAGTTTGCAAATCAGCAGAGTAAGCGTTTCACACATGGATATGATTTCATTCATGTTAACTAATTCATCTCTTTTCAAGCAAATTGAGAAGCTGGCCACGGAGTACAAGTATTAGAAGCATTACTGACGAAGAACAGAATTTAAACCTTGCCCGACTCAGTTATCAATTCCCATCACTACAGAATGGATTATCGCCATCAGAATCACTGATGGGGAGGAGATTGAGATCATAACTTCCACCTTTGCCTCAGAAGTTACAACCTAACATCACTGATAATGACCACATCTGAGTTGAACCAATGTGAGGAGCAGCAAGGGGACAACTTCAGTAAAAGACGAAGTGAATGTCAAGAGAAAGAATATGAGTAAGAGATCAACACAGAGAAAGAAGAGTTAGAGCAAAAACACCACAAATAAGATTATATATAGTTGAAACAGACTATAGGATTACAGTGATAAATTATAATGAATTGAAACCATTGAATAAGAAATTAGTGGAAATTTGGAACTGTTTCTGAGAAGAGGAATAAGAATGATCAACAACCATTCAGAAAAGGAATACTCACAGTGAAAGAAGTATGAGTACTGAATTCATTAGCACGTTATGGAGGTTGGTCAAAGCACCACTAACACTGTAAAGTCTGCACCTTTCAGGGTTGGTGTTTAGGATGTAAATGTAAAGGAAATAATGTCTTGGGGATGGATGTAGAGTAACAGAATTTGTAGTAATTGTAACAAGGTCAGCTAGGTGGACCTGAAAGAATATGAGTTCTCTGATTGGGGCTGTTAATCTGGTTCATTCAGGGACCCCAAGCTGACATATAAGGACAGGAATGTCAGACATCCTGTTCACTCTGACTCTGAGTGAGCTGGATCAGTGTCAAGGACTCTCCATGTGTAAATAAAGAGTAACTTGGTGATAGGAAACTGGCCTCTGTGGAGATATTTCAGTGGCAATGAAAGAAAAGCATGCTCTTAAAGAAATTTGGTCGCGACAGTTGCCTTTGAGTTGGGGTAAACATATCTGGCATAGTGCCATTATTTGGGATGCTTGACTCATTTGATCCTGCCGTCGAAGACTGGGCCCAGAATGTGGAAAGAATGTGTTTTTGTCCAGGTAAGTGACATTGGGGCAGATGAAAAGCAAAGAGTAATTCTCCTGACAGCTTGTGGCCCCATCTTTTTGGTTATTAGGAGCCCAATTTTCCGTGAGGCACCAGATATGAAAACCGTTCAAGAGTTGATGGATTTATTTAAGGAATATTATGACCCCAATTCTCCTCTAATTCTGAGACGCTATCAGTTTTACTCGGCAATTCGAGAACCAGGGGAATCTATATTGGGATTTTTAATGTGGTTAAGATGACTGGCAGAGGCATGTGACTTTGGTTTAACTTTTAATGAGTTGCTGAGAGACAGTTTGACATGTGGGATTAATGATGTAACCGTACAAAATCACCTACTAACTGAATCACAGCTGGGTTCAAACAGGCATTACAGCTGGTTTTATCATTGGAAAATGCAGCAAGTGGAGTATATGAGTTGCAGGGTGTTCCAAAGGAAGTGGACAGCCTCACCAGTCCGATTGACCTTGGCGAACATCACTTGAGTGAAGGCAGTTGCATAGCCGCACTCCGGACATCTCCTGAACAGAAGGACTCTCAATCAGCCCACAGCAAAACCCCAAAACAAAGCCAAGCTTCGGCTGAACGGTTAAAATTTTCTTCAGGATCCAGGCTGGTAAGCCAATGTAGTTGCTGCCAGTGTGCAGAATCTGGTATCCAGGAGATTGCTCAACCTGGAAAATCCACCTACAGCTGGTTTGGATGTCTGATATTCCTGTCTTTACATGTCATCTAGGGCACTCCAAATGGACCAGATTAACAGCCCCAATCAGGGAACTCATTAAATATCATAATTCTACTTCAATCAAATTCAGTTTTTAAATTATTGTTCTGCAGTGCATTTTGTGATATAGCATTCCAAATGTGAAAGATTAGATGTACCAATGTGATGATGTAAGCTGTGTCTCAGTTGTCAGCTCTCTTGTCTTTGAGTGAGGAGGTTTTGGATATCAGTTTCACTACAAAGGTTTGAGTACACAAACGTAAGCTGACACAATAGTGTACTATTGAGGCAGGTGCTGTTTTTGGATGAGATATTAAACTGAGGCCTGTCTTTCAGGTAGATATAGAAGATTCTGTGGCAGAATTTTCAGACTATTTGGAAAGCACATTTATTTATAGTGTTCTAGCCAATATTTAACTGTCACCCAACATCACTAAAGAAAATATCAATTAGTCATCAATTTGCTGCTGTTCTAAGCTTGTTTTGTGCAAACTGGCTGCCATGCTTCCTATATTACAATGAATAACAATGTACTTTGTTCACTGTAAAGTGTATTTGTTGACATTCTCGAGACAATGAAAGACACAGTATAAGTACAAATCTTCCTTACTAAAGGCTACAAGTTTTGTAAAACTCTCTGCAAATAATAGTTTTGTTATTTGTTTAGGTCTTTTGCAACGTGACCACCCAGAGATAGCAATATCAGTAAAGACCAGACAAGCAGTCCGAACTGTGCTTAACAGTGCCCGGGACACAATTCATGCTTTAATGGCTGGAGGTCTTCTTGATGATGCAGAAGCATTAAAATTAGAAACGGTACTGATAGCTTATGATCTACCATTTTATATCAGTAAGCAAATTTTTTGCAATAACCTTTGCTAAAGTATATCCTCTATTGAAGCATAATGTAACTTCTAGAAACCTGGAATAAAAGCAGAAATGCTGGAAATATTCAGTAAATCTGGCTGCATCTATCAAAAGATAAACAGAGTAACTTTTCATCAGATCATGAGAAAAGTAGAAATGTAGTAGGTTGTAAATAATTTAAGGGAGAGAAATGAGTAAAAAAGGAAGGTCTGATAAAGTAAGAAGTAGGGGAGATTAAATGGCAAAACTATTGATACATGATGCAAAGCCAAAGGGAGTAATACAGGGAAAGATAAAGAAACAAAATGTGTGTGAACAGTAAAAAGATGAACATATTGCATGGAGACACATTAGAATGCTAAAAGAGAAAGAGAGGAAAAGATGAGTGGCTATGACAACACGTTTCCTTTAAGGCAATCCTCCAGGCTGATGTTTCTGAAATGTCTTCATTTTCTTCAGTCAGAAATTTGCCTCCAGTATGGTTGGCACGGTCCTTGGCTGGGCCCACCCCAATTCACACATTTTGCTTTCACCGTTTCACATCTTCCCAGAACTTTGTTACCTTCCACCATACCTTTGCCTGTCCCAGAATTACACCCTTTGACTTGTCGCCACGAATCAGTTTTTTGGGCCATTTAATCTCCATCGTTATGATCCTAACTGATTGTAATACTAGAAAAATAAGATCTCAGATTGATAGATCACAAATTTTATTTTAACATTTTCGTTACCATGGTGGTCATTGATCGTAATCACATGTGTCTGGCAATGTTCTTTAAACAAACTAACATACAAGTCTATTATGTAAAAGAAAGAATGGAGAAGTTGTATGACAATTTAGAAAAATCTCAATATAAACAGCAAAAAAAAATTCAATGCTTTTTCCAGCAAAATGTTTTACAGTCACTCAATCCCAGTGAAGAGTTTCTCCTGTCGTAAATATGTTTTACAACTCTGATGATTTGAAGATTTCTATCCAGCTCTGACAAATGGCTACGCTTTTCCAATTATGGCAGTTCAGCGATTTCTGCCAACTCACACAGCTTAAAGACTTTTATAAACTAAATTTTCACAGTCTAAAGTCTTCAACCTGGATCCTAAAAACTGCCCTTCTGCTTGGGAACTTCTTCTGAACGCAATCCTCTAGTGGTCTCTCACCATTTGTTTCTGTATTATAAACTCAGTTTTGTAAATATTTAGCAATTAACTTCGCAGGTAACCATTTTAGTCATTTAATCAAAGTCATATGCTTTCTTAGAAAAACTGTCTTTAGTTCACTGCTCGAAATGACGTTCTGACTTTTGTTAAAGAGCAAGTCACAAAACTTTACAGAACTGAAAACTCATCTATTTTTTCTCCACATTCGAATGCAAGGTTCCAAGAACAATACATTACAAACCTACATTACACTACGTTCAATTGATCATCCTCAACAATTTCCACCACCTGCTGGATGGTTTCACCACCAAATACATTTTCCCCTTTTCCTGTCAGCATTCTGAAATGGCCGATCACTTTGTGCCACATTGATTCATTGTTCAGTTATCCCACATTGCAAATGCAGAAACTGCAACTCCAATTTCTCCTACACAATTGTCCAATGTCCAAAACTTCCTTCCCAGTTGGAAAGGTATTATTTTTACTTCTTTCAATTTAGTATAAGATAATTTGCTAATCACAATGCAGTCTCCTCTGTTTTCAGGATACAAAAGCAGATTAGGTGACTACTTTGAGGAATACCTCTGTTCTTTCTGAAAGTGGACCCTAGCTTCTAGTCAGTGCCATTTTAGTTTGCTACCTTGTTGTCAGTGAGTCCACTGTTTTCAGCTTCCTACAGTGTTCTAACTAAGCTCAAGATAAACCCAAAGAAGAGCATCTCGTGTCTAGAATAGCACATTTTGGATTTCCATACTTAACATTATATTCGATAATTTTAGAGCAAATCCTTTGTCTCCTTTTGCTTCCCTTTATTTTGCTGTGTTTAATTTTTTTCTCTCCTTTTGTTTATTCTTTGGCTTTCAGGTGATAGCTGTTCATAATTCTTCCATTCCTGCCTCCTCTTGACACAGCTTTTCTTTTATTTACTCTCCAATGTAAACAATTCTCAGAGAGAATGACCGTATTTTAAGAGAGGGATTCACATAATGCCAATGGAAAGAAAACTGATGAAGAAAATTTTAAATTTTTAAACTTCTTCTGCAACAAACCAACCAAAATCGAAATAATTCAAATAGAATTATCAAGTGAATGCTAATTTAGATAACAAGATAGAACTGACATTGAATAGTTTATACAACAAATATACATGGTTACAAGAACACACATTGTTTCCCATGTAAATGCAAGCTTACCTCTAAAACAGAACGATCATCACACCATTTGTTACTGCCATTTGGCATTTTAGTGTAAAACATTTTGCTATTTAATCTTTTCTGCCTTCCACCCTATCACAGATGTGTTCTTATTCTGATCCTCCACTATTTCAGTCCCTCTGGGCAGAATGTTAACAGGGGTCTGAACCATGTGTGCCATGGACGGAAATCTAGGAGAATCGTGTGAGAAGTCCATTGATGCCTTCCTCAACATTAGGAGCAACAAGTTGCGTTTTCCAGCAGAGTCCCAGGCGAAAAAAGATTCTCGCTAAGTAGTGATTCAGAGATAGTACTGAAAAAGGTCCAGACCCAAAACATAAGCTTTCCTACTCCTCTGATGCTGCTTGGCCTGCTGTGTTCATCCAGCTCTACACCTTAGTATCTCGCTAAGTAGTGGCAAGATGCCTATTAACAGGGATTATGGCATATTTTCATGCTTATTAACTGCAGATCTTACCTCATTGATATGGACCCTCTTATTCTACTACACACTGCAAGCAAGATTGACACCAAAAATTCTCGGCATGGAAGTCTGAGCAGGTAACTTGTGACTCCAGGTCACTGTTTGCTCCTCTGCACCTCTGTCATGGAGACCTGGCACCTACATTTCAGGACACACTTCAGGACATTGACTGCACACATCCTACATCCTGAGACACTGACCTCTGAAACTTGACATTTCTTAGAATTCTCCTGGCACATCTCTGATTCATTTACAGGACGCTTTTGCACCTGTAGCTTCACTTCTGAGTGCGTTGGCAACCAGTGTCAAAATGCTGCTGCAAGGAAACTTTGCGCATAGGGCCAGCCACTCAGCTCATAGACTACTGTCCCTACTCCTGCTCACCCTTTAGAATAGTACCCTTTATTTAATACTGTCTTTCTATGTCCTTTCTTCAAAAACATATCACCTCATACTTTTCTACATTGAAATTCATCTGCCAGCCATCTGGCCACTGTACTACTTTGTCAATAACCTTCTAAAATTCTGCACTGTTCTCCTCAGAGTTTACAATGTTCCAAAGTTTTAAATCATCAGCAAACATTGAAATTGTCTCTCCGCGCCAAAATCCAAATCATTTATATGTATCAGGAAAATTAAGTGTCCGAATCATGATCTCTGGGGAACTCAAATGTGCCAAAGATACCTGTTAATTGTTATTTTCTACTTCATACTCGTCAGCCATTTTTGTGTCTATTGCTACTGTCCTTTTTATTCATGAACTATAAATTTTCTCACAAACCTATTATGTGGCAATCTGTAAAGCAGGTTTTGGAAATTCCCATGCACCATGTCAACCACATTGCCTTCATCAACCTTTTAGAAATCTCCAGAAAGTTAGTTACCATAATAACTCAGAACTGACGGGAAAGAAACTTTGTTTATTGTTGAATACCACTACTCGAGGTGTACATAGACTAGTCCCAGCTCAGGACAGACAGTTTTTTATGATATTTTCTAATCATCCTGTGCAGAGATGTTATTATACACCTCTGGAACAGGTGGGGCTTGAACTGTGGCTGAGAGGTAAGGAGACCACCACCGCACCATTAGCACCTCATGGGTCTGCTTTATGTTGTTTTAATCAACCTGCTGAGATATGTTATTACACACCTCTGGAGCAGGTTGGGCTTGAACTCGGGTCTCCTGGCAGAGAGGCAGGGAGACTGCTACTGCATCATAAGCATCCCTTGGGTCTGCCTTATGCTATTTTAATCAACCTGCTCAGATACGTTTTTACAGACCTGTGGGCAAGTGGGGCTTGAAAGAAGGCCTCTTGGGTAGGAAGACCACCACTGCAACGTGAAAGCCCTTTTTGGTCTGCTTTCTTTTTAAAATCAACCTGTTGAGAGATGTTATTACACACCTCTAGAGCAGGTAGGACTTGAACCTGCGTCTCCTGGCTCAGTACTAGACACTACTACTGCACCACAAGACGTCCTTAATTTTTAAAAAATATTTTCTAATTAGCCTATTTAGAGATATTATTACACACCTTTGGAGCAGATAGGACCTGAACCCATGTCTCCTGGCTTAGAGGCAGAGACACTACCATTGCACCACAGGGGCTCTTTTGGGTTTGCTTTATTTAAAAAAAAAATTAGCTAAACTGATTTTGTTGTCATTGTTACTAATTTACGATTTTGCCTTTCAATGTTTACTGTTAGCCTTTAGTCTCCTATGCAAATGTTTTGGGATACATTGTGCTGTAGCTATTTTCTAATCAACCTGTTTAGGATTGTTATTACATGCCTATGAAGCAGACAGGACCTCACCTATGTCTCCTGGCTCAGAGATAGGGACACTACTACTGCATCACCTTGATCTTTTGATTCTGCTTCATTTTTTTCTGTACGCTGAAGTGCTATTACGCACAACTGAGCAATCTTCCCACCATGAAAATCACCATGACTTCTTTGTCCATTTTTTTTAACCACTAGCACCACTCGTAAATTGAGTCTGCTTTTTTTTTTAATCAACCTGTTTCAGGGGTGTTATTACACACCTTTGGAGCAGGTGGGACATGAACCTAGGCCTCCTGGTCGAGGGATAGGGACTCCACCACTGCACCACAAGACCCTTTTGGGTCTGCTTTATCTTTGTTTTATACCTTTTTTTTCTGAAGAAGGGTCTAGGCCCAAAACGTCAGCTTTCTTGCTCCTCTGATGCTGCTTGGCCTGCTGTGTTCATGCAGCTCTACACCTTGTTATCTCTTTCAAATGTGGATGTCACTTAAGAGCTGCCTGGCTTTTTGCAACTGATTCTGCAACCTGTGTCATAGTGCAAGTGATATTTCTACTGGTGACTGTCTTAACTTTTTTCCTTTGAAGGCTGGTGCTGTTCTGTCAGCTCTTCAGCATCTATGACATCCCTGCTTTGCCTACAGTAGTGGTGCAGAGCACAACATGCCACGATTATGCTGCATACACTATCTGGAGTATATTTTAAGGCACCTCCAAATTGATCCAAGCATCAGAACCCCACCTTGAGAAGCACTCATATCTATCCCCTGATGGTCCTGAATAAAGAGTGGATTGCGTTATATCTGCGCTCTGCCTCAGTGAGGGGTCCCTAAAAGGATCATCAGTCATGCTTGGAGGGGGTAACCCTCATCTCCCCGTAGCCATCCTTGCATGGTATTCAACCCTATGATAGCAGCTTCCAGGATTCCTGTTGCAGATCTTTAAGATGTAGCTACGCTTACAGATGAGTTGGACATTGAAGGAATGGAATCCTTTCCTGTTAATGGATTTAGCCATGTTACAGTATGGTGCTGTCAACACAACATGTATGCAGTCAATAGCACATTGCACCTGCAGGAAGCCAGTGATGAAGAATTCCACTACTTGGGGGCTGTAACACTGACCTCATCACTGTGCTTCAATCATCTGGAGGAAAGGAGCAAAGTCAGTACACTCTTGGCTTTTTAAACTTTCTCTACATCCTGGGTGATCTTCTGCTGCAGTTTCTCCACGTGCAGGCTATTTGTCAGCCGTTGGACATGCTGTTCCTGGACTTGCTGACGCCTTCGAATCTGCTCAGTTTGTCTGCACTGTTTTTATCTGTGACAATAACACCTGCAACAGTGACAATAACACCTGCTCAGATCTGTTCAGGATGGTGCAACAAACCATTGTGAAGAATATCAGAATCAAAATACCTTATCTGAGTTATGATTCCTGAGAGTCAGAGCCAACACAGATGAGGCTTTAACCTTGACCATGATACTGTGGGACATGGAGGTCTTCCAGAAAGAGAGCCATGAAATACCTGTATAAAGAGCTCTGAAATGCTACACCTTATTTCAGGTGTATACATTGCAAACTTGTGGCACAAATATATGGTGATATTGTAACTGTGGTATGAGTACTACTAAACGCCCCCTCAAAATCACAAATGAAATGCAACATTGAAGAAGAACACAGCAGGCCAGGCAGCATCAGAAGAACAGGAAAGCTGACGTTTCGGTTTGGGACCCTTCTTCAGAAATGGGGAGGGGGAGGGGAGCTCAGAAATAAATAGAGAGAGGAGGGGTGGGGCTGGGAAAGGTAGGTGGGATGATGATAGGTGAGTGCATGTAGGCAGTGGTTGGGTTTGGTCAGTGAGGTGGGAGTGGCAGTAGATGCGCGAGAAGATGGACTGGTTGAGTCAGGTCAAGGAGCAGGGATGAGAGGGAGGGTTGGTCATGGGATGAGGCCGGGGTGGGAGATTTTGAAACTGGTAAAATCCACATTCAGGCCACTGGGCGGTTACAAAACATTTTAACTCCCCCTCCCACTCCCTGGGTAACATGTCCTTCCTGGGCCTCCTCCAGTGTCACAATTATGCCACCCTCAAACTGGAGGAGCAGCACCTCATATTCTGCCTCGGGAGCCTACATTTGGTCCATTGTAACCATCAGGATGTTGATTGGAGAAAATTCAATGATGGGAATGCCAGTGAATATCAAAGGAGGATACTTAATTTCTCTCTTGTTGAAAATGGTCATTGCTCGGTTCTTGTGTGGTGCAAATGTTACTTGCCACTTGTCAGCCCAATCCTGGATACTGTCCAGCTCCTGCTGCATTTGGACATGAAGTGACTCATTATCTGAGGATTCATGTATGGTGCTGAACATTACACAATCATCAGCAAACATCCCCACTTTCGACATTATATTGGAGGGAAGCTCATCGATGAAGCAGTTGAAGGTGGTTAAGCTAAAGACAATACCATAAGGAACTCCTATTGAATTGCCCTGGAGCTGAGTTGACTGACCTGGCGAGGTACAGTGGCTCAGTGGTTAGCACTGCTGCCTCACTGCACCAGGGACCTGGTCCGATTCCAGTTTTGGGGCAACAGTCAGAGTGGAGTTTGCACAGTCTCCCCGTGTCTGCGTGGATTTCCACTGGGTGCTCCGGTTTTCTCTCACAGTCCAAAGATATGCAGGTTAGGTGGATTGCCCATAGTGTCCAGTGATGTGCAGGCTATGTAAATTAGCCATGGGAAATGCAGGGGTTGGGGACGGGTCTGTCTGAGATGCTCTTTGGAGGGCTGGTGTGGACAAGATGGGCTGAATCAGTAGTGTGACAGAAGATGTCATCAACAGTGCTATCAAACGGAACTAAGTTAGTAGGGTCTGTAATCATGTTGAACACAGTGAAATTTATTTTACATTGTTTTCTGCATGACTTGCAGCCCATCCTCTTGTCCAATCTCTAACTTGCAACTCTGCAAGGCCAGCTTCAAAATAGACCACTTGCCCAGCTATTGCATTCAGTCCCTGAAGTTGTACAATTACAGTATTAATTGAGCTTTGAAACAAACAGTTGTGAATCAGGAACCTTTAATCTTCTTTGGAATTTTTCCTCAATGGATAAATGGGTCAGGTTGAAATTGAGATGCAGCATTTTACAAAAGCCCAATGGTAGTGAAGTTCCTTTCGTATGGCTGGTGCTGTTCTCAGTGTCAGCAACCACATTGTTGCAACGCTGACCAAACAGAACATTGAAAAAGTTGCCATGCCACCAGTGAAACAGCGAATTTGAGATAATGTCAGAAACTGATATTCTTATGGAATAGAGTAGGGGCCAGTTTACCTTGCATGACAACCACCGAGAGTTATGCTCGTGTGAGTAAGATGCTTTAAGATAGAAAATTATTTGAAGCAACTTGATTCCAGAAACAAGAAATAAGTGAACAGCCCCAATGCTTCTGCAGCATCAGGACTTGTGCTTTCACAACTGGAATTTTTATAGAAAAGCACTTTTAAATTTAGTTTAGTTTCTGCCATGAAGCTCAGGTTTTGGATTTTTTAATGTATTTATATATTTTTCACATTTATTTTGTATATTATTTCATTTCACAATGTAGGAATTTAATGATATAAAATACCTCAACTTGCAGTGTATAATATTTTGATACTTTTCTGATAAGGAAGACCATACAGAACCTAACTCTAGTTTAACATTAATTCCTATAGGAACCCAAGTTTCATTTAAAGTCACAATTTTCAGGAGCATGACAACAATTTTAAGTAATTTTAATGTATTTGGTAAGAGTGTCACTTTTAGCAATGTAAATGCAAACAGACAACACACAAGTGACCTTTGCCCATGTTTAACAATAATCTCTCGGCAGACGTATGTTGCTGAACACATAGAGATACTAGCCCAAGAATGATGTCTTCCCTGTGCAACAGTAAATCATTAGGAATTTACAGTTGCTTATTACTCAGTATCTAAATGCAGCAGTTAATTGGTAACCTTTAAAATATTAAATAAACTACATTTATATCTATCACTAATTTAATCTCAGTTGAGCCGATCATCAAAATGCCATTAAATCAGTCAGTGTTCTATAAACCCTTGGTTCCAGGTTGAAGTTTATTAAAGATGGAGCAGATTGTATTTGAAACCTAGATATTTGTAAATATCCTGTATGAAGTAAAGAAGAATATTTGAGCTTGTCACATTCAGCAACTTGTGTCTCTTTTCTGGTATCAGTCTTCATCCACTGAATCTCTATTCCGGAGTTTTCTGCCTCAGCATTTTGCTATTATATCTGTCTCCATTTTCAAAGTCATTCATAAGTCTTTACTGTGTCATCAATTATTTCTATAATTTCTCCAGTACTTATTTTTGTCATTCATGACACCCGTTGAATATGAATGAGATGTTAGAATAAATGCCTGATGACATTTGATTCCATGTTGTAACTGTAGTATCATGACAATTAATTTTTAAAGTTTTATGAAAACTATTAGTTACTGCAGACTAGCTCATTACCCATAAAAACCCAGAGTTGCAGTTTATCCATCTATAAAGATCTTTGCTATGTTGACCAGTCACAAATGTAATTTTGATACTGGCTTAACTTATTGAATAGCAACTAACTTTGAAGAATTACCACTGTCATGGCACTTTTATTTCCCAGGCAGTATACAATGTGAAAAGCAATACGTTTATACAGTTGCCATTCTATATGAATTTTGACTAAATTTTTATTCCTTGTTAATTTTGGGAAATAGATGATTGAAGTAAAGATGAAGCGTCTTCTGAAATTTCCCCCTTCCATACAACCTCCAACTGCGGAAGAATTGTTAAAAAATTTACCATGGCTGCAAAATTCAGAGAAACAGATTGAATTCATCAAGGTATTTATTTTTTGTTGATTCTTTGTTAATATCAAGAAGAGTATCAAACATAGTAAAACTCTGCCAAACATGAAGATAAATCTGTGGAGTATTGTCCTTAAATATCCATTGTGAACAATTCTTTAAACATATATCAGAACGTAAATGCCTGGTGGACATTAAAATAAATTGTTGGAGTGAACCCCATATTTACTCAGCCTGTACTGATGTAAAATTGCTGGGTGTAATCAGCAGACTATATTAGTGTGACAGTTCAGCTAATAAACAGACAATTCAGTTTTTTTTAAATTGAGGTCAAACCAAAATAATGTTGTTAGCTTTTTGCATTTTAATTGTCTTAATTTAACAGGAGGTTATGGTGTGGTAACAATGTCGCAGGACTAGTAATTCAGAGGTTTAGACTAATGTTCTGCATACATGGGTTCATATCCCACCATAGTAGCTGATTCAATTATTAAATCGGGAATATAAAGCTAATCTCAGTAATGGTGTCGTTAAATCACTGTTGATTGTTACAAAAATCTATCCAGTTCATTTCATTCATTCCTTTAGGGAAGGAACCCTTGCTTGGTCTGGCCTACGTGTGGTTCCAGACCCACAACAATGCCCCTCCTGTGCAGTGTACTCATTTTCCTCCTTGGAAGACTACTCCCGCTGTTCCAGCTCTTCAGCTCCCAGCACAACATGCTAGGATTATGCAACACATTGCATTAGGTCCATCTAGACCAATCCATGAAGTGAAACCTCATTTTCAGGAGCCTATTTGCCTAAATAGCCATCTTCAAAAGATATCTGCCCCTTGAAATGCAGCAGGAACATGAAAGTTGTCAAGGGTGTAGGCACCTTGGAAGCTCCCAGGGTACCTGCTGTAGATTTTAAGATGTGGTACTGACGGTCACAGATGGTTTGCATATTGATTGAATGGAATCATTTTTTATTAATGAACTCATATGGGTTATGAACGGCCCTCTCATACAGTCATAACATACATTCTATTGTACCAGGGCTTGGTGAAGCCAACTATGTTGCTAAAGCCAACTGCAGAAGCTACAGCATTAACCTTGTCTTGGGGAAATGAGATGGAAGTGATGTGATCTGGTGCAAATTGTAATGGTATTAGAATTAATTCATTTGTGTGTCAAAGACAGAGCGATCCTATACAGGTGAGATCCCACACAATGGCTTCTTGGACGGTACCAGATGCACACACGTTCGGCACAGCTGTCATCTTGATGGTTCTTAGGGTCGCATGGCCACCCACTCCTTTGTGTTGCAAGGCCTGCTTCAGGGTCTGACATAGTTCCACAACAATGTCTAGGACATCCTGAGCCTGCAGCAACCCTATGCGTCACCTATCTAGAGGAAATGGCATAGAGGACTAAAGACCTCTGCATTTCCTACACATTCCTAAGGCCTGTTCAACTAAGAGTCAGTGGTAAATTGAGAAGCAAATATGTAAGGAGATCTCAGATATATGTAAGAATAATAGGGTTGTAGTGGTAGGGGATGTTAACTTTCCAAAATTAGACTGGGCTTGGATGGGGAGGAATTATTGTGTACAAGGACATTTTCTTATTCAATAGGTGTATCTACGAGAGAAGGAGGAATATTTGGCCTTCTCTTGGGAAATAAGGCAGGGCAAGTGACTGAGATATCAGTGGGGGAGCACTTTGGGGCAAGTGGTCATAACTTTATTAGTTTTAAAATAGTTATGGAAAAGGATAGAACAGATCAAAGAGTTAAAGTTCTAAATTGGAGGAAGGCCAATTTTGACAGTACTGGACAGGAACATAGAAAGTTGATTCAGGGAGGTTATTCACTGGTAAATGGACAGTTAGGAAGTGGGAGGCCTTTAAAAATGAGATAACGAGAGTTCAGAGACAGTATTTTCCTAATAGTATGAAGGGCAAAGCTTGTAAATGTAGGGAATGCTGAATGACTAGAGAAATTAAGGCACCGGTCAAGAAAAAGAAGAAGGGATGTATCAGCAATAGACAGCTGAGATCAAGTGAATTCCTACAGGAGTATAAGAGCAGTAGAAGTATACTTATGAGAGAAATCAGGAGGACAAAAAAGGGGACATGAGATAGTTTTGGCAAGTACAGTTAAGGAGAATCCAAACAGATTCTGTAAGTATATTAACATCAAAAGAGTAACTAGGGAGAGAATAGGGCCCCTTAAAGATCAACATGTGTGGAATCGCAGGAGATGGGTCAATATTAAACAAATATTTCACATCAGTATTTACTGTAGGAAAGGACATGGGAGCTAGGAAACCTGGGGAAATAAATAGTAATGTCTTGAAAGTGTCCATATTACAGAAAAGTAGGTGTTGAAGGTCTTATAATGCATAAAGATAAATCCTTGGGACCTGATCAGGTGTTTCCCTGAACTTTCTGGGAAGCTAGGGAAGAGATTGCTGTGCCCCTTGCTGAGTAATTTGTATCATTGACAGCCACAGGTGAGGTGCTGGAAGTCTGGAGGTTGGCTAATGTTGTGCCACTATTTAAGAGAGGCTGTAAGGAAAAGCCAGGAATCTGTAGACAGGTGAGCCTTACGTCAGTGGTGGGTAAGTTGTTGGAAGGGATTCTGATTTTGCATGTATGTGGAAAGACAAAGAATGATTAGGGATAGTCAACATGGCTTTGTGCACGGGAAACTGTGTTTCACTAACTTGATTGAGTTTTTTGAAGAGGTGACAAAGAAGATTGATGGAAGGTAGTGTGGTTGATGTTACCTATATGGATCTCAGCAAGGTGTTCGACAAAGTTCTGCCTGGTAGACTGATTAGTAAGGTTAGATCGCATGGGAGGGAGCTTGCCAATTTGATACAAATTGTTTCAAAGGTAGGAGGGTGGAGGAGGGTTGCTTTTCAGATGGAGACCGATGTGCCATAAGGACCGGTGCTGGGTCCACTGTGTTTCGTCATTTATATAAATGATGTGGATGTGAATATCAGAGGAATGGTTAGTAAGTTTGCAGATGACATCAAAATAGCTGGTGTAGTGGACAGTGAAGAAGATTATCTCAGTATACAACGGGACCTTGATCAGATGGGCCAAGGAGTGGCAAATGGAGTTTTAAGTTAGATATATTTGAGGTGGTGCGTTTGGTAAGGCAAACCAGGCTTCTACAATTAATGGTAGGGTCCTGGGGAACGTTACCAAACAAAGAGACCTAAGGGTGCAGGTGCATAGTTCCTTGAAAGTGAAGTTGCAGGTCGACAGCCTTATGGCCCCAGTAGTAGTTTCCCACAGAGATTTATTGCAAGTGTGACAAATGGATCCAGCCACACAGAGGACATTGGCCTGTTTTCCTGGCAATGGATTCCCCCAGGTCCAGCAGCTCATCATTTTCATTAGAGTACCAACCAGATTCAGCAACAGAAAAGGATTTCATGTGTTGAATGCAACTGATCTTGCAAGTCTGCATTGAGTTCCTTGGCAGCTATCACGAGTCCTTCACCGCAAGAGTCCCATGTGTCATACCACTTCAAGCCGACATTCAGACTCCATTTGTGGCTGGTGAGGGTGCACCTTTTCCCTTGGTGAGGTGGCTCCTGACAGTCATGCGATATCCAGATGTGGAAAGGTACTACAACCAGTCATCTACTTAAATGTATCAGAGATAGTAGGAACTGCAGATGCTGGAAAATCTGAGATAACAAGGTGTAGAGCTGGATGAACACAGCAGGCCAAGCAGCATCAGAGGA